TTGTTGTTTTTTTCTATTCCCACTATTTCCTGATCCTGAAAGCAAAGGGAGTTCTCAGACCCATATGAGAATTTTCATGGTCACACTGGTTTCCATTATTCCCTCTCTGGAGTTTTATTCATTGAACTTTTTGAAACTTTGTACTTTTAGAGAGAGGTAAGGGATTGACTCTGTGTACACAAATTTGCAGAGTGACAATAGGGTTGAGGACTGTTATTTTTCACCTATATATATTTATTTATTTATTTTTATTTATTTAAAAACATTTTTGCTGTTATCTCTGGAGAGACAAATCCACAGTTTGAGAACTGCAAAACTAAGCATCTTTGATGGTATCTTCTACACTGAGCCCCATTGGGTAGATAGAAAGATTAACCTAAATAATCTATACAGAAGCCTCTGGAACCCCATAAGATTGGGTCCCTGTAGTGGGGTGAACGCCCGCTCCAGCCCTGAAGGGGTTGGAAAAGCCCTGCAGAGTGCTGGGGCTGTGTAAAGGGGCAAAACCCCGGCTGATTGGGGAAGTGGCTGCAGCTGAGGCCACGCCCCAAACTGAGGAACTCAGCCTTATAAGAAGACCAGGGTAGCCAGAAGCTGAGGAGTCTCCCTCTGACAGGAGAGAGAGACAGGCCTGGCTGCAGGGAGCTCACCTGGGGACCTAGAGTAAGGCAGGGCTGGGGAAAGGCCTTGGGGGCTGGGAAGCCCTAGGCCAGCAACTCCCCAGGCTGCAGGGCCTGGACCTAGGCCAAATAAGTATTGGGGTTGCATAGGGGCAGCCTGAGGGTAGGTAAAGACAGCCAGTCCAAACCCCTTGTTGCCGGTGATGATTGCCCACCCCAGGGTGCAGGGGCTAGATGGTGACTGGCAGTAGCCACGACTGAGACGACATTGGGATAAGGGGTGGGTGTTCCTCTGGGTGGGGAGACCCAGAGAGAGAGTGGGGTACTGCCAGGGGGGCAGCACCCAAGCCGAGGGACACTGGGCCAACGACAGGCGGGACACCTGGCCTGCAGAGGGCGCTCCGGATGCTGGGTGAGCTAATTCCCGAGACGACCAGCAGGAGGCACCGCAGGGGTGAGTCCACGCCTGATTACAATCCCTAATCCATGAACTATTGGAACTCATATACGAAACTTTTCTTAAACATTACGTGAATATATTGTTTTATACTATAGAATTTATAATCCCTATTCCATGATGAGATATCTTTGAGCTATAATGTATCTTAATTAAAACTATCTTTTAGATTCCTTTTTCAGGAAAAAACCTTTTTATCAAGAAAATCCAATTTAAATTAAAAAAATCAGATTATTTTTTTATTAAAAAAAAATCATTGATTTTTATCCACCCTGTGTGCAACACATCTTGAAGAAAAACAGTTTCAGAGGAGGTTAGTAACCATTTCTTATTTAGGTTAGTAAAGTCCAGAGACGACTCTGAGGAACCTCAAAGGTATCTAATCAAGTTAGGTGAGAGGGCAATATAGATGTATTTATTGAACTTAATTTGCTTATTAGTGTACATATGAGGGGGAAATGACAGCTAAGAGAGGGACAGGATAGTACACAAATATTTGAAAATTGTAAGCATCAAGGATAAGAATTTTTAGGAAAGTATACTGCAATAAGGATAAGAAAAAGTAAGCATTCTGAGAGAAACTTTCTACAGTTAGGTCTATTACAATGTGAAATAATTTCCAAAGGGAAATGGTAGAAATGCCCTCTCTTGGAACACTTAAAATGGAACGGAACAAAGCTGTAGTAAACTGACAGTAGGGAGTCATTCTGCATTATCAGAAATGTAATAGATAGAGAAATGCTGTATGTCTTTTCTATCTTCTGTGGAAAATTTTGTACACATAAAGTGATTGCTTTGATAGCATCATAATGAACATAAGAAACATCAGAATAACCATACTGGTCAGACCAATGGTCCATCTAGCCTATCTTCTGACAGTGGCTGATGCCAGATGCTTCAGAGGGAGTGAACAAAACGGGGCAATTTATCAAGTGAACCGTCCCTTGTCGTCCAGTCCCAGCTTCTGTCAGTCAGAGGTTTAGGAACATCCAGAGCATGGGGTTGCATCCCTGACTATCTTGACTAATAGCCATTGATACCTATCCTCCATCAACTTATCTAATTCGTTTTTGAACCCAGTTATACTTTTGGCCTTCACAACATCCCCTGACAATGAGTTCCACAGGTTGACTGTGTGTTGTGTAAAGTAGTACTTTCTTTTGTTTGTTTTAAATATGCTATCGATTAATTTCATTGGGTGACCCTTGGTAATGTGTTATGTGAAGGGGTAAATAACAATTCACTTTCTTCATACCATTCATGTTTTTACAGACCTTTATCATTCTCCCCCCCGCCCCCAGTCGTTTCTTTTCTAAAATGAACAGTCCCAGTCTCTTTAATCTCTCCTCATATTAAAGCTGTTCCATGCTCCCAATTGTTTTTGTTGCCCTTCTCTGTACTTTTTCCAATTCTAATATTTATTTATAGTTTTGAGATGGGGCATGCAGTATTCAAGGTGTGGCCATACCATGGATTTATATAGTGGGAAAGGAATAGATAATATCCTAATGCCAATAGTTCCTAACATTGTTAGCTTTTTTGACTGCCATTGCTCTTTTGAGCAGATGTTTTCAGAAAACTATCCACAGTGACGTCAATTTCTTTCTTGAGTGGTAACAGCTAATTTAGTCCCTAAAATTCTGTATGTATAGTTGGGATTGTGTCTTCCAATGTACATAACTTTGCATTAATCCCCATTGAATTTCATCTGCCATTTTGTTGCCCAACCACCAGTTTTATTAGATCCCTTTGTAACTTTTCAGTCAGCTTTGGATATAACTATCTTGAGTAATTTAGTTTCTTCTGCAAACTTTGCCACCTCACTGTTCACCCCTTTTCCAGATCATTTATGAATATGTTGAACAGTACTGGTCCCAGTACAGATCCCTGGGGGACACTGCTATTTATCTCTCTCCATTGTGAATACTGACCATTAATTCCTACCCTTTGTTTCCTGTCTTTTAAGCAGTTACTGATCCATGGGAGGACCTTTCCTCTTATCCCATTATTGCCTATTTTGTTTAAGAGCTTTTGGTGTGGGACCTTGTGAAAGGCTTTTTGAAAGTTCAGATATGCCTTATCCACTAGATCACCCTTATCCACATGCTTTTTGACCCCCTCAAAGAATTCTAATAGATGGGCAAGGCATGATTTCCCTTTACAAAAGCCACGTTGACTCTTCTGCAGCATATCGTGTTAATCTATGGCCTTAGCTACACTTGCAAGTTAGAGCACATTAAATCAGCCCCAGGCACCATAACTCCTGAGGTGTCCACACTGGCAAGGCACTTAGAGCGCCTGGACTCTACAGCTGGAGCGTTCCTGGTAATCCATCTCCACGAGAAGCATAGAGCTTGCTGTGCCTGGGCTGGAGCGCCGGGTTGTCAGTGTGGACGACGTGTTGCATTACTGCACTGTGATTGGCCTCTGGAAACATCCCATAATCCCCTGAAGTCAAGTGGCAACTCTGGTCATTGTTTTGAACTTGGCTGCAGGCATACGTATATCCCCTTTCAAAGATCCGTTTCTGACAGCCCGCATGCTTATCTGCTCTGGGACACACACACACACAGAGACACACACAGAGAGAGAGAGAGACACACACACGACGGGGGTGGGGTTGATGTTCGGGTTTCCCCCTTCCCCTGCCGCTGTCTGAACTTACAAGATAGCATGCTAACACACTCTACCCCCCCCCAAAACAGTGTCTCTCCCTCCATACAAACACAACACGCTCCCTGTCACACTCTCCACCCCCTCATTTGAAAAACAGCTGGCAATCTAGTAGGATGCCCATGGAACAATGGGATTGGGAAACCTGCATCATGTGACACTGTGCCTGCCCCATTAGGCATTGCAAACCCTTTCCAAAGCACGCTGCAGCCACTTGCACACTGGGATAGCTACCACAATGCACTGCTCTATGTGGCATTGCAAGAGCTGTTAATGTGGACATGCTCCACAGTCACAAAGAGTACAGTGTGAACACACAGCAGCACTTTCCCTGCTGCTGTCTCTGAGGGCTGGTTTTACACCCGGTGTTCTAGATCTGCAAGTAGAGACGTAGGCTATGTGTGTGATAAATCTGTTTGTTACTATAGTATCAACCAGTTTGTCTGAAGTTAGACTGACTGGCCTGTAATTGCCAGGATCATCTCAGGAGTCCTTTTTTTTTTTTACAATTCGGTTTTATATTAGCTATTTGCCAGACATCTGGTTTGGAAGCTGATGTAAGTGATAGGTTACATACCAGAATTAGTAGTTCTGCAATTTCATATTTGAGTTCCTTCAGAACTCTTGGGTGAATACCATTTGATCTTAATAAATTGAATCGTATTAATTTGTTCCAAAATCTCCTCTATTGACACTTCAGTCTGGGATGGATCCTCATATTTGTCACCTAAAAAGAATGGCTGTGGTGTGGGAATCTTTCCCCACATCCTCTGCAGTGAAGATGGATGCAAAAACTCATTTAGTTTCTCCACAACAGCCTTATCTTCCTTGACTGCTGCTTTTAGAGTATCCTCTTTAATAAATCCTTCCCTAAGGGATGTATCTGTCCAAACCATGTGCTCCTCCATATCTGTTGGCTTTCCCTCCATTCTTAGTTTAAAAACGCTTCTATTACAGGCTTCTCTGGGGAGTTCCTCATGAAATTTGTTCATATAGAAACAGATGTTAGTCAGTGTCCATTATTTTAATTGCCAGACAGTTACCTCTTCCAGATGAGGATAGGTTGTTAATGTGCTCATGAAAATTTCCATATGGCCACAGAGAGAACATCTCTGAAGATGAGAAAATTTAGTTGCAATGATTTACTGCTTAAAAAAACTTGCTATATATAAATTCAGATTAGAGTGGTTTAAACTACTCATGGTTTTTTTTTTTTCCATTTCTTTGTGCTATTATTATTTTATGCTTAGATACCAAGGTTTAAAGGACATCGTAAACTGAAAAAGTGCTTGGACAAGGCTGGTGAGCAGGTAAAATGCATGAGAGGAGAAGATGCTGGCAGGTGCTTTTAGTCTTCCATTAGGAAAAAACAGATTATACTAAAAAATAAAATAAACTGACAATGCAAACACTAAAGTTTATTGTAATTTAGCTATTAATATAATGTAAAGGTATAGAAATGCCTCTCTAAGGCACCATACTTAGAATATTGTACACATAAAAAGCTTACTACATAAATCATATTAACAAATGATGAAAAATTAAGCTTTCTGTTGGGCACTTCATTGTTAACTAATGCTGTTGAAGGGTGGAGGGAACGACAACCGCATGAGTTTAAGTGTAGAATGTCTTCAAGTGTGAATTTTTTGGGGCTTTTTTCATAATGTTGCATTAATTTGGCATACCCTCCCAAAACTAATCTGTGAAGCCATTAACCTTCTCCTTCACAACCCTCCTTAAGATCCATTTTTACCTTGTTGTCTACAAGACATCACCAGATGATAATGGGTAGATAGAAAGCTAGTGGGGATAAATTATATTTAATTGTAAAAAATCCTTAAAAAAATTATTTGGAACCATTATGTACGTGCTTTTACTTCTGTCATGCTTACTCATCTCCCTTTCCTCTTGTTGCGTATTGCATTTGTTTCTTGTCTTTAAATGATAATCGGATTCTGCTACCCTTATTTATGTTTAGTACTTTACTTTGCATTCTCCCATTAAAACTCGGAGTGATTGTAGGTTAAAGTACCACTCAGTCTTGATAAGAGAAGTGGGATCTTACTGTATAAGGATGGTATAAATCAGGACTATAACAAATAGTTACTGCTGTGTATTTGACCTTTCTGAAAAAAATTTCACAGCCACCTTTCAGAGTTTACTATCTGCTCTTTTCTGTGTGTTTTGCATCACAAGTGATTAGAGTATATGAATAGTTTAATTGCCAAATTTTATTGTATTTTAATGAACTTTATTAGTTACTAGGCTTGCGAATAGGATCTTAAACAACTAAACTTTAAGAATCAGCTTTTTATAAAAATATTAGCCATTTGATTTTTTCCATTAATTTAGGAAAAAATTACTCTTGGTTTGCAACCTTGTCTGCATCAGATTTCCACTAATATTTACAATCCCTTTAAAAAAGAAACTTAAGTGGAAATATTAATATAACTTCAGTTTTAGTAGTATTGCTATATAACATGAGGTGTTTTGCTCTCCCACTGTGGTATATTTCTTGAAAGAATAATTTTTAAAACTGACTCTTTTGCCTTGTAATGTGGTTCGAGATTCACTAATAAACACTTTTGGAAGATAACTTGTAAATCACAAATGATCCAGCTTCCCTGGCACATACCATTCTTGACCTCTTCACATTTAAAATGTCTAACTTTTTAGGATGTTTAATTTGAAAAAGAGTGTGGGAGAGAATGATATAAATGCTAAAACCCCATGTATGTTAGTTGACTTCCCTCTCAAGTACTTGTAAAATGAATGAGTTTTTTCAATTCTGTATTAAAATTTGTCATTAAAGGTATTATGGAATGGCAATAGCTCTCTCCATAGTTAAGGTTACAACAATATTTGAATTATAAGATGGATTTTCAACATTCCTCTAAGTCAGTGGTTCACATCCAGGGGTACATGTACCCTTTGGGGGGCACACAGAGGTCTTCCAAGAGGTAGGTCAACTCATCTAGATCAGTGTTTCTCAACCTGGGAGTTGTGACCCTCAGGGGGGGAGGGGGCGGAGAAGGGGGGTGTCACAGGATGGGTTTGAGGGGGGTGCAAGTGCAGGGCCAGCATTAGAGAGTGGCAAGCAGGGCAGTTGCCCGAGACCCCACACCACAGGGGGTCACACAAAGCTAGGTTACAAACTTCAGTCCCGGGTGGCAGAGCTTAGGATACAGTGCCGGGTGGTACGGCTCTGGTTTTAGGGGTACAGTAGTCTGGAAAGGTTGAGAACTACTGCTCTAAGTTCCTTCAGAGATGTTTCCTCCTCAGGGTATGTCTACGCTAC